CTCCTGTTCCCTCCAGAGCCCATGTTTCCTCCCATAGACTGACTGAGAGCGAGGGTCTCTCTCAGCTCACCACACTGTGGAATTTCCCACACATTTCTCAGGTCACCATCTCTGAAACTTGAGGAGTTTTATAATCTTCTTATCTCTTACTGGGTCATAGGGCAAGGGAGAACAGGGGGTTGATAATTGATCATTTTTTGGTCAAGTTTTTTTTGGTTTTTTTAAAAATACATTTCAAACTAATAGAATAATCCGCCATCAAAGTGACAGTTAAAGATGTTCTATTTATAGGCATAATCAGCTTTTATTTAAAGAATGTATTGAAATCAAGCAAACAGTACTACATCTGACAATTCCCCCTTGGTGGAAATGGCTAGTGATAACGTGAAAGCAGATATTCAGTCACTTTATTGTTTGCTTTTGGTAATATTTAGCCTGTCACTCAAGTAATGTTAATTAGGGCTTTTCTTTAGTATCTAGGTTACTTCCCCTTATTCACCAAACACTTGCTAATGCAAAGTAAAAAGTGCATATCATGAATTTGAATTCTAATTTTTATAATGAGACCATATACAAAAACTCAACTTTAATTTTTCATATCACATAAATAATTGAAAGTACAGTAAAAGAAAAATTGGCACTTACCATGACTCCCTAGTTTATAAAGCACCTATACGTATATTATCTTACAACCTATACCTCTGTCAGGTAATCAAGAGAAATACTTATTTTTTTCATTTTATAAAAAAAAAAGAGTCAAGACTCAGAATTGTTAAGTTAATATTTAAGTTCATGGTTCCACCACTTACTGGGTATCCTTGAACAAGTCACTTAATCCTCTGCAGTTTCCTTAACTATAAAACAGAATGAAAAATAGTGCCTACCAGATAGGGTGTATGTGAAAATGAAAAGAGCTAATATACACAAGGCACTTAGAACAGTGCCTGGTACATGGTAAATGCTCAATAAATGTTAGCTGTTATTACCACACAGCTAGAAAATGTTAGCACTTATACCCAAATCTAGACCTTCTGACTCCTAGTTCTGAACTCTCTTCATAGTACCATGTGGAATTTACCTTGTAGTTAATCATTGATGGGATTTCCACCTCACATTGACCTTGTTATTCTTGAAGGGATCTTTTTTTACTTTGTTTACTTTGACCTTACATCTCTCAAGTTCAAAAGGGAAATGTATTTGAAAGATTCTTCCTTCTTGGTTTTTAAAAATCCTCCGGTTTTTGTTGTCATCTGGATTTGCTTGACCTTGAGGCATCAGAAAGTGTTTTAGTAGGTGAAGATATCATAAAGTTGTTTTCATGGATGATTTGGGGTGTTTCCAGAGGATTCTGTTTTGATTGAAAGGTCTAAGGTGGGAAGTAGAGATGAAGGAAATGGTTGGACTATAGCCCAGAGAGGGGCAGCCACACCTCTTATCTGTAGTGCTAACGGAATATTGTCATCACAGAGAGTGGTAGTTTGCTGACCTCAGAGTAAAGATGATTGTTTTGACACAGGATTATTTGTTGTAAAAGAGCCATCCTGAAGAAATTGGTAAACTATTATAGGCCATTCCCTGGGCAAGGAGAAAAAGTTGTTTATAGATACTTCTCTTGGGAATAGTATCTATAAACAACAGGCTTTCACTTTTGACCCCCAGTTGTTTTTACTCCGTCTGTCACCAATGCAGACATTTATGACTGTGAACTAGGCCTAAGTGAAAATCTTTATGCTTTCGTGGTAGCTACTCAGCTGTCATGGGGAGATAGCTGCCCTTTCCTCGGATGCCAAGGTCATCTGAAAACTGGATTTGGTATGGAAGATGGCAGAAGCCTCAACTCACTGAGCATGGCCTCTCACCATCCTTCTGGATGTGCTGTGCGTGGTACGTACGTAGGCGAGGCCTCTTAAAGTGCAGGTGTATGCTTCTCACGGCCTTTGTAGAAGATCTGTACCAGAATTTAACCTGGTAAGACAGGAGGCTTGAGAGAACCTGGTGAGACCTGTCTTTGTGATGTGTGCCTTTTAAAAAAAATTTTATTTTAAAGATATGGGGTGCAATTCAGGGTTAAGTATACAGAGGTTCATTATCCAGGTTCCCTTGTTGATGAGGTGTGGTCCCCCCTCCCCTGGCAGTTTCTCACTGCTTCCAATCCCTTTCTTACAGTATTATGATAACTGTTCAAGGTGCACTTATGAGTGAGAACATGTGGCACTCAGTTCTTTATTTCTGCACTAGATCGATGTGTGCATTTTAACCCACTCATCTCTCATTCTCTGGCAAGTAGAATTAATGTTCTTATATTAATCAAAGACACTGAATTTTAAATAAATTTCCTGGGACTTGATGATTGTCTGATACTGTTTGCAAAAGAGAGGATATGAAGAAATGATGTATTATCTTTTCTAGTTTTGCATTTAGCATCCATTTTTTCTCCCTCGCCACTCGCAGAGTCCTCTGACCCATCTAACCTGGGACCAAAGCCCAGAGAACAGCTCTGGTTCCTAATATCTAGGCAGCCTCTCTCGTAGCTATAAGCCTAGCCACTCAGCTTGGTGCCTGCTCCTGTGGTTGACTTCTGCCTGTTGCATTGACCACTCTCTGGCATGCTAGGGAGTGCCAGGTTTTTTTCCTGCTGTGTTTGTATGGATGCTCTGTGTAGTGGATGAGGAGTTGGAGAAAAGATAAAAAGGAATAGCCATTATCCCTTGCCACTATCATTACGTGCTGCCCAGGACTCCAGAGAGCTTTGCTTCTTAGCCAGTTGATTATGAATTAAACATCTGTGTTTGATGTATGAGAATCTTCTGTAGATGGGGGTTCTTATCCTTCTATACCATTTACATCTTTCTGGCATGCAGTGTCCTAGAGCACAGCAGGTGATGGTGTCCTTTGAGGTCAGTAGCAGAACTGGGAGTCACAGTGTGACAGCTGAGAGATTTAGCAAAGCTAGCAGGGCTGTAGAGAGGTTGAATAGCTGAATACTCAGGCTAAGACTAGTTCATGATGGGCCTTTGCTCAACTGCCATTTATGAATGCCAGTGTGGCAACAAGCTCCAGAGTTGGCCCCTTGAACATCTGTTGTCTTCTATAAAGTCTTTCTGATTCTCCCAAGTTGGGTCCTTGCCCCTCAGGACTCCTGTGGCCCTTGTCTCCCCCAGATTTATAGAGAGTAATTAATTGTCTAAATGTAGGTTTCATCTACAGCATAAGTCTCTTGACAATAGGAACCTGGTCTTGCTCATTTTAGTGTTGTCATAATTCATAGGTGTATCCCACTTGTAACAATTACTCGATACATTTTACTGAATTAAACTGAACAAAACTATGTCCGTGGAAATCTTGCATTTAGTGTCTATGCCTCTATATTTTTATACTTTTCTAGGAGGTTATCAGAGTACACAGAGTAAACAGAGCTCCATCATCAAAAGTAGCATGTAAGACCGGGCGTGGTGGCTCACACCTATAATCCCAACACTTTGGGAGGCTGAGATGAGAGGATTGCCTGAGTCCACGGGTTCGAGACCTGCCTGGGCAACTTGATGAGACCTCATCACTACAATAATAAAAAAATTAGCTGGGCATGGTGGCACGTGCCTGTAGTTCCAGCTACTTGGAAGGCTGAGGCGGAAGGATCGCCTTGGCTCAGCAGGTTGAGGCTATGGTGGCTAGAAGTGTGCCACTGCCCTCCAACCAGGGTGACAGAGTGAGACTCTTACTCAAAAAAAAAAAAAAGAGTAGCACGTAAAAACAGACTGATCTACTGTTGGGCTTTTTTGTTGTTGTTGTTGGAGTCTCACTCTGTTATCCAGGCTGGAGGGCAGTGGCGCACTCACGGCTCAGGCTTTTTTAAAAAACAGCTTTGCTGAGATACAGTTCACATGCCATGCAGTTCACCAATTTGTCACCATGGTGTTTAGCATGGTAACAGAGTTGTGCAACCATCACTGCAGTCAATTTTAGAAAATTTTTTATCATCCCCGAAAGAAATCCTGTGCCTATTCCCTCCAGTTCCCAAGTCCTAGGCAACCACTAATCTATTTTAAAAAAAAATTTTAGACCAGGCACAGTGGCTCATGCCTGTAATCCTAGCACTTTGGTAGGCAGAGGTGGGAGGATTGCTTGAACCCAGGAGTGTGAGACCAGCTTGGGCAATATAGTGCGACCTCAGCTCTATTAAAAAAAAAAACCAATTAACTGGGTGTGGTGGCTACTCAGCTCCCCAGCTACTCAGGAGGCTGAGGCAGAAGCATCACCTGAGCCCAGGGGGTTGAGGCTGCAATGAGCTGCAAGTGTGCCACTGCTACCCAGGCTGGAGTGCAGTTCAGTTTAATTCATAGCTCACTATAACCTTGAAATCCTGGACTCAAGCAATCCTCTCGCCTCATCCTCCTGAGTAACTAGCACTTCAGGCATGCAACACCATGCCCAGCTACTTTTAAAATTTTTTGTAGAGACAGAGTCTTGTTATGTTACCCAGGCTGGTCTCAAACTTTTGTCTTCAAGCAATCTTCCTGCCTTGGCCTCCCATACTAATCTGCTTTTTAGCTTGATAGATTTATCTGCTTTGGACATAATATTTTGCCTGCCTTCTTTCACTTAGCATAATATTTTCAAGATTTATCCATGCTGTAGCATGTGGCAAGCTTAGAGCTTTGTGGAAATTGGAGGGTCCGTTGTTTCCTGGCTACTAGTCAGTTGTGGTAAGGGCCAATGGTGAGTCCACCTGCCCTCACTAAGGATAACCAGACCTATTTAGTGGAAATTCCATAGAGGTGTTCAGAAATCGTTCCCACGACTAATTGTGAAAATCAAACAAGGCAATGTCTATGAGCACCTAACATGGTGCCTAACACAGGAGGGCCTCACATCTGTTTATTCCCTTTGTATTTCTTCAATTTTAGTAAGAAGTTGCCAAAATGAAACAACAGATGCTTTTTAAATTGGTCTTAGAGTTTTACTGATTCCTCCCTGGCCCTTTTGTTTTTGTTTTCCCCAAGGTTATGCCTTTCTGCTGTTCCAGGAGGAGAGCTCAGTGCAAGCTTTGATAGATGCCTGCCTGGAGGAAGACGGGAAACTGTACCTGTGTGTGTCAAGCCCCACCATCAAGGATAAGCCGGTAAGTAATACGCAGCCAGCTGCTGTTTTTCCAGAGCACATATGCAATTGGAATAGCTGATCTCTCCCTTCTCATAATGGGAATGCTGGTAACCTGGATCCCTAGTACCTGGCTTGACCTTGCTATGCAGCGCAGTTGGACTGTTGTTGGTGATTAGAAACTAATAACAAATTACTCCGTGCTTCATTTTATACCTTTGGGACCGTGTATAAGCAAATGTGCCCTTGTCTTCCACTTTATAGCTCTTTTAAGCTAATTCCTATTCAGAAACTCTGAATTGAGGTAAATAATGCTCTTAGCGGTGTTGGCAGCTGGTTTCCATCATTATTTCAGATCAAGGACAGGAGTAATTTATATTTTTAAAAAGATCATAACGGTTGATGTTTATGTACCTCTGAATGCAACGTATTGTGCTGGGTGGTACACACAGCCAGCTGAATAGAGACTACTGGGCCAGGCGCTTACACTCTGAAGTGGGATGTTTCAACAGGCAGGAGCGGGGAAGGACTGTAGCCTTGATGCAGAGTTTGAGGCTTCTGGGCCAGAGTGTGGTAAGTCCCTGGGCAAGGGAGGAAGACTGCTTCCTTTCTTCTGGCAGAGGAGATATCAGTGGAGAAGGGGTGAGACCATATTCAGAGCAGAGGAAAAGAACTCAGTTAATGTGACAGAAGTGGAGACCCATGGCAAGTGGGCAGGGGTGGGGTGGGGTGAGTTTGCGTGTCAAGGCTTGGCCTAGGAGTGGGAAGGGCAGTACAAGTAGTGATGTGGAGTGGGCAAGAGAGCGATGCTGTCTATCATGGGGCCTGCAGCAGCCCCCATAAAACTTGCCCCAGAGGTGTAGGGCGTGCTTGGCATCTAGGGCCACTCTCAGAAAGGTGCATGGGGAAGGAGTTGGGTTTGGATCTAGAAGTCTGAATTTTGGCCCTATTGTTTGAATAGCTGCCTGGCTCTAAATAAGTCATCTAATCCTTGCTGAATTGTGGTTTCCTCGCCTGGAAAATGGGAAGAATGATCATTCTTCTCTAGGTTGTGGAGAGGCTCGGATGAGAGGGAAATGAATGTGAAAGCATTTGGTAGAGGTCAGGCACCTGTGCATATGTGACTGGCTGATGGGATCAGCCCTGCGTAGTGCCGTAGGATTTAGGATTTAGGAGAGCACGGTCAGAGCCCAGCTCCGTGGCAGCGTCTGTTGGGAAGGATGATGACATCATGAACAGGGCTTTCGGTTGGTTGCAAAAGAATGATGTTGAGACTTCACCACCTGTAAGGGATAGGCTGTAGCGTTTAAAGCAGAGAAAGAAACTACTGAAGAGTAAGGGATATTGATAGCCGGGTAATTAAATGATGCAGGAAAAGAGGCAAGGGTTTTAGCCAGTGTGAAACTCTACAGTTCCAAATTTGGGGAACGTTAACAAATCTTGATAACAGTGACAATGTTGGATAGAGTAGCTATACAAGTAGGGAAAACAGCAGGAAACAGTAGGTGGGAAAAGAGTAAGGAGGCTTTGTTAACTTTGCTCTTTACTTAAACAGTGTGGAGAGGCTGTCTACAATGTGGGAGCCATGGGGAATGACTAGAATGGGAGTGTGCAGTGTTTCATCTGAGTAAATAAGAGGAAAGTGGAAATGACTTCTCTAAGTCTTTTTGGAGTAGTGCGAGTGTAACGTGGCAGCCCCAAATCTGAGAGGATTTGTGCATAAACTTCTTTACATATTCCAAATAAGTCACCTGGAGGTCCAGCAGGGACACTGGTTTATTAGAACTTACAGGAGGCATAGATGGTGGCCAGTCATGAAGAAAGAGTCTGCATTTTGGGGCAGTACAGCAAGCAGTTTTATAGACACCCAAGTCAGTTAATCAAATTCCTACCTGGTATTTACAATTACATTGTTTACATGTGATGACCAAATTGCTTTCAACTTGCTCAATTACCTATACCCCATGACTCCTTACTGGGAATATGCATATCCTGCAGAGGCCAGCCTTGGCCAGAGGCTGCTCCCTGGGGGAGGGACAGAAAGAAACCAGATATAGGGGAACGAGTCAGTGTCCTGACAATTTCCTTACAGTGAGGTCAGAAAGTCTATACTCAGTTTGGAAAAGTCAGATGTCTGAGGGGTAAATGGCCAACCTCCAGAGAGCCTCTGCCACTGGCACATGAGTATAAGGGGAGTAGGATTGAGCTAGGAAGGGTTAGGGTAGAATTGGTCACACACTAAAAAAGAGGATTTGAAATCGATTTTTATACATAAATAGTTGGCTAGGTGCGATGGCTCAGCCTGTAATCCCAGCACTTTGGGAGGCCGAGGTGAGAGAATTGTCTGAGCCCAGGGGTTCGAGACCAGCCTGGGCAACTAGGTGAGTCCTCATCTCTACAATAAATCACAAAAATTAGCCAGGTGTGATGGCCTGCGTCTGTAGTCCCAGTTACTCAGGAGGCTGAGGCGGAAGCATCACCTGAGCCCAGGAGGTTGAGGTTGCAGTGAACTGTGATCATGATACTGCACTCCAGCCTGGGCAACAGAGTGAGACCCTGACTCAAAGAGAGAGAGAGAGAGAGAGAGAGAGAGACAGATACACATTGAAGTAGTTATGTTTATGGAGGTTAAGAAGCTGCTGAATTGAGGCGAGGAAACCAGAGGTGGTGAGCACACAGGGTTTACATACCTTGAAAGGGTCAAGTCACTGGCTCTGTTTGGAAGGAGAAGAATGTGCTTTGTAGGGCACACCTTCAGCTGGACAGGATGTCTCTTCAGAAAGGAGCAAGCTGCAGCAGTTGCAGATAGAGGAGGTGTGGAGACGATGCCGTTACTGTTGAGTGTTTTCACTCTAAACACATGTATTACCTTTGGCTTGAAGGACTTTTGAAAGTAATTATTGTAATTATCTCTTTTGAAAATGTTCATGGGGAAACTGACTTTCATTGTTTGTGTTTCTGCAAATTTCTGCCCTATTGCAGTTTTCTGAGCTCAAGTGTGGCAGTTTTATTGGAGCTGGGTGAATTCTCTGTGATGACTGCCAATCACACATTTCTTTGACCCAGGGATACTCAGAATTTCCAGCATAAGCAATCTGAATAAAACTGGTATGGGAAACTTAAAAGTCCCCAAACACCTGTAATTTTAATGAACTGGATCCCATTTGGGGCTTCAGATCCTGTGGCTCCATTTCTGAAACCTTCTCTTTCCTGGCTTTAACGTCCACCACTCCCAGCCTCATTTGTTCATACTTCCCTACCCAGGTTCTGGTACATTCCACCTCACTGTGACTACTCCCACGGGAGGAAAAAAAGTGAGAACTGGGTTGAACCTTTGGGAGTAAATGAGGACCTTGGCAGTAGCTCAAGGCAAAGTCACTTTTGGAGCTCATTCGCCAGCCTTTTTGAGCTATGGCTCTTCCTTGCTGCTTGTTTTGACTTGGCTGGCCTCCGTGTCCTACCTTTCAGGATCCTGGTGCCCTCATTCTGTTGTTATTTCTCTCTGAGCCTCCCTGGATTTCTCCATGGAAATACACCATGTTCCAAAATGACCTTGCAGATCTTTGACCCTTTGTCCTCCTTTCTTGTCCCTTCCCTTCAAAATCCTCTTCCCTTTGAATGGATCAGGTTAACCAGATTGGGTATTTTATTTGTTTTATTATTATTTTTTTGAGTTGGGGTCTCATCCTGTCACCCAGGCTGGGGTGCAGTAGAATGATTACAACAATCATAGCTCATGTCAGCCTCCTACAATCCTTTCACCTCAGCTTACCAAGTAGCTGAGACTAAAGGCACATGCTACCACACCTGGCTAAGTTTTTGGTGA